GTTTCCTGAAGTGTTCCACTCAGTATCTCATCAGCAACAAAATAATTACTTCAAGCATTCTGGTATTAACAAAAGCATAGTCAATTATACTGACATGAGTAAGAGGGAATGGGGCGTATATGCCAATTCCACCCCAAGCATACCCAGCTTCGCTATCAAGGTCTAAAATGCAATTAATCTGTCAATGAATTCTAGACTGGGGAGGGGGTATTTTTTTTTTCACCCCAGAATCGTATATTAAATTTATTGTAAAAGTCCATTTTCTACAGCAGAGACAGAGCATACAACAGTGGTTATCTCTTCCTTCTCCTTCCGATTGGTGGGGATAGATCCTTCCCCAGTTCCAGAATGACAAGACAACCCCTCCCCCTCAATTTGAATTTGAAAGACTGTCTCATGAAACTTGCTGGTCTCCAGGACTTTAGAAGTCTTTAGAAATTAGGAATAAATATATGTGACCAAACTACGTTAAACTGGTTGCAGGTATATGTGGGGCCTTGAGATGTTTCCCTCCCTCTTGATATTGACTGGAGGGGTAGCTGAGAGGTAGCTGGATGTCCTGCCTCCATTGCAGAAAATGAATTTTCATGATAAGCCCAACTCCCTGCTTTCCTACAACAGTCAAAAGATCTGATAGTGGAACAAACTAAAGCAGTTTGGGAGGGCTGGATCTTTTATTAAAGGACCTTAATGTTATAGGAACTACTTTCTGCAGCACCTTCTTACTGAATGACTCTTTGGCCAAGGTGGATGGGTTAGGTTAGTAGTATTTTATACAGGAGAACACAAGGATTATGTGGCAGCCCAACAGATATCTCCCAGGGAGGCATCCACTTCATAAACTACTTTGATACATGATTTCATCCACCTGGATAACAATGCCAGTGACGCTTTATGACTCAACTAGTTGTCCTGTGTGGCATTTTAGGCAATGTATACTGCATTTTGTTGTTCTTCCACTCAGACTTTGTGTCTACTTGGGCTAACCAATGTGCCCTCAAATCTGTAATGTTGGCATCTGTGAACTGTACCTGTAGCAAGGGAATTCCTCATCCCTAATAGGATCGCCAGTCATCTCTAGGTTCTCTGAGCTATTAGGCTCTGGAAAGCGAGGAACATCCATTGGAGGGGGCTAGAGTGGAAACTTGCCCATGATACTGAATCTACATAGATGGTCATATGGCCCTGGAGACCAGCAAGTTTCATGAGACAGTCTTTCAAATTCATGCAACTCATTGTTTGGGTTCTCCCTTTTGCTAGGTGGGGAAAAAACAATGCTCACTCTTGGCTGGAGCTGGTGCAGCTTGTCTGGAGGTCTCTATCCCCCCAGCATGTTCTGAATGGAAGGAACTAAAGGAATGAGAAAAGTAGCTTGAAGTCCTACTACTCTTCCTTTCAGAACCTTTGCTGGATAGGGATAAAGCTTTCTTTTTCTCTTAAGTCTCTAGGGCTTCTCCAAACAGTTTTCTATCCTTGAATGGGCCCAATATGAGCACCAAAGCTGATGGAATCTGGGTACCAGTTCTTCAGCCATAACTGCCCTCTGGTGGCCATTGTAGATAACATTCATCTAGCTGAGAATTCTAGGCTACCTTGGGTAATGTCTGCCCTGAAGATATCCATCATGGCCAGTTAAATTTCCCCTCCAAATTCCTTATGCTCAGGGGCAATGAGTTAATAGTTTTATCCATAGAATACAAGCCCCAGAAAAGACAGATGTAACAAGAGAAGCTCTTACAACTAGGGCTATAGCCTCATGATCTGGAGTATTTCTATCTTCCTGTCCTCTTGTTTTGCCGGGGGGGGGGAGCATTTTCCCCATCTTAATGTAGTATTATCCCAGAGACCACTATCTTACTATATTTTACAATTAAAACAGCAACAAAGTCTTATAAACAATTTAATGCGGTAGATTCAGTACTGATGTAACATATATATGTAAATATTCTGGCACTAAAGATTTCAACTGCAGTTTCATGATGCAGAGCATTCATTAACATCATGTGGCTATACAGAAAAAGGTAATAATAACTTCAACAAAGGTTTAAGAAGTCAAAACTGATTTACCTTTATGTTTACCCGTTCTGCAAAATTGGTGTATTTTTTCATTAACATTATCTATTTGCTGAGGAAACGATGACAAGCCAAACGGTGTAGAATCAACATCCCTTTCATACCAATTCTTTAAAAGAAACAAATAGATGTCTTTATTTTTATAAATAGATAATACCCACTCATTATCTAATTAAAAAGGATTATTCTAATGTAGCTACTTCATCAGAAAGACACTGAATCTAATTTACCTCAGGTACAGTAAATGGAATTTTCTGATTATTAGCTTTAAAAATTTGTCCTAGCAAATGCAAAGTTCTTGAACGGGGAACAATGTTTTCTTCCTGCATTTTAGTCCAAACAGATTCAGCCTTTCCCAAATCATTATTTTTCTCTGAAAAGGAAACAGTTAAAGGAAAAAAAATAAGAAAACAATTACACATATGTGATGTTAATAAACCTATTTTAACAGATGATGATAGAAGACAAGATTTCGTTTCAAATATTTTAGCAAAAAACTCCCCAAAAACTAATAAGCTAGAACAACAAGTGGTTCTATTTTCTTACTGCTTCCCATTTTATGAGACCATCATGGGAACACCACTGTTTACCAAAAAGAAGGAAGGTTTTATTTCAAAAACTTGTATTAACTGTATCTATATTTAGTCTGTAAATTTGACAATCCATAACCTATAAAAATAATAAGTCATATCCTGTTGTAGAAAGTAAAACTTCATTAATTTTCTGTTCTGGTTACATCACTGGGGGATGCTGTTTTGTTAAATTAATTTAAGCTCTTTGTCAGATCCAAAAGAACTATGAGAGGAAACAAAATTGCTGTTGGTGGTGTTGTATAAATGTTTATGCAAAAGTTGAGAAAGTGCAATAATGGGTAGGATTGACTACAGTTTTATGCATCTACTCCTGCAAGGGGATGTGCTACTTCCTCTAGGATCAGAAAAGAAATGCTTTGTTTAATTTTTCTCACACAACACCAAGTATATAAAATACCCTTCTTAAAATACCAGCATAAATCCTAAATACGGTTTGCAGAAGAGAATGCTCCTGGGTCTACCTTCTTCCATTTCTATGAGGAAGGACTACAATTAATTACCATTAATAAAGTGGTGAGGAACAGTCTTTTATCTTCCAAGAAACAACGCTGTTTTTCTTAGTTTGAATAGAGGAATTGGCTATGCCTTTGCTGACTGGAGCAATATTTCATAAAATCTATTTTCTTATATTTCTCCCTCAGCAGGCGTATTGTCAGTATGGGGGAGGCAGACTGCTGTTGGGAAGGAGAGAACAACCTCTTACTGAGGAAAAATTATGTTTTGAAGCCCAATGCCATGTTTCTGTGAGCCAATATTGAAATTCTGATACCTTTTGTGCATATTTTCTGCTGAGAAAAACTAATAGTAAGCTAATATAAGGCATGTAATAAGCTTTGTGGCTTCTTCTATACTGAATAGACATTTCTGCAAGCCAAGAAAATAGATATACTCTATTTAGTATATACAATTTTTCTTATTTTATAGGAGGCAGCAGAGTTCTAACCCCAAGTTACTGATGCACAAAACTCCTATTATCTCAAGCACTGGGGAGAGAATTGTGTTAATCTTCTGCAGCAAAAAAAGCAGAAAGTCCTTTGCACTTTAAAGATACTTGAGTTTCTTAATGTTTCCTTTGATTTTCTGTGAGGAGTTAGCAAGGATAACTGACCTATGTGAACAGAAGAGAGACTGGGCAATGAAGGAAACAGCTTTCAGCATTCATTTAAGGTCTATTGGAAGATTTTCCATCTGACATTAAATGATACATAAAGGTATCAATCTGGATCACTGCAACAGCAGAGACCCAAAGGTTTAAACCTTTTCCACCCCTTACCACTCCACTGTTTACTATGGAAAATTGTAAAAATGAGTTTTTAAAAAATAAAATAGAAATCTTTCCTGGGCCAATTTTTCTGTGAGTTGGGAGTCAATTAGCACACAACATGGCCTCTATCCCAGTCAATTCTGTGACCCAGAACACAGCCCACTCAAAATGTTCTGATTGGGAATGCACAAATCTACCCACGCATGGAACACCTGGTTTTGAGTGTCCATGCATGAATATGTTTCAGATGTTTTGGTCCAGACACTGAAAGAAATGGAGTTGTTTTGTTGCAGACGAGGATTGAAAGCTGACTGTTTCATGCAGAAGCAGTTGGGGGAGGATGGGGGAGATAGGATACACCACCTCAAGGTGGCAGAAGCAGCTGAGGGGAGGCAAAGAAGGAAGTGGGAGTGGGGTTTGGATATGCCACAGCTGCTAAGGTGAGGAGGGGGAATGGGGGTGATGTGTCCTAGTCTTGCCTTACATGCCTGTCAAATCTTCTAGAATTTGATTTGTCCAAATCCCCAAAATAGCCAAAATGTTCTGGGCTTTGTTTCGGCTAAACTGTAGCTTATATGAAAAGGTTTAGCCTTCTGAACAAAATAATTTGCTTGTGTTCTAAGCAGAACACATTTTCTCCTTCACGCATACCCCTAGTTCTAACAGAATATTCCAAGTGGGGCTATATTGTTCCAACTTCAAACAGTAACATATGTATCCTTAAAAGCTTATGACCAGCTGTAAAGTTGTTTGACAGTAGAACAAATACATATGAACTGATGAGTTTTTTTCAAAATAATAATTTTGCTAAGAATATAAGGTAAGACAAATACAGTTCAGCTATTTACCATGCCTGACAAATTTAAGTCTCCCTGAGTTAAATGTGCAGTCACCCTATGCTATGAGGCTCTCAATTTTACAGCATTTTCCTCTAAAGCTTAACAAGTTGCCCACGTAATGGTAAGATTATGAAAGGCTTTGAGTTATTCCTTGGGAGAATGCAAGTGTATTCGGCTATCTTCTATTGAAAGCAATTATGTACATAGCAAAGAGGAACATTTTTTTTCAAATTCTTTTGCAGACAGCAAAACAAGACAGTTCAAAGTAAAGGGAGAAATTACCCAGACAATTCTTGAATTTCTGAGACATGGTTTAGTACTACAGAATGATGGGAAATGGCAACTTTCTTTAAAGAACTCCTCAAGAGATAAATACCACCTATGCAGAAGAAAATAGGTGGTTTACAAAAACCTTCAATTATCATTCAACCGAAGTAAGCCAACTGTAGAATGTTTCCCTATTCAAGTTAATACTTTAGAACTGAAAGAAAGAAACCAACTGGTAAATTGGAATACAGCCCAAGCACACTGAACAACATTTCACCCATGGGCAAGTTGCTGAACTAAATGCACAAATGCCATCTAATTTTTGTTGTTGTGCGTTTTTTTTAAATAGAATGTGTGAGTATTGGTCAGAAAGATGGAAAGGTAGTGTTTTGCTGAGATCTTTAAACCAGATAGCCAACTGCACCTGCAAGTGGGAGGAGGAGGAGAAGGACAAAACTGAAGGCCCAATGAAGGCTCTCAGTTGGAGGAAAATGAAGATTACAAATGTAAACAAGCATAAATGCAGGCCTTTATGATTGTGGCTAAAGAACAGAATCCATAGCCATGGTTGTCATCAGCCAATTTAGATAGTAGTAACTGGAAGAAAGGAAAATGGTACAGATCATAGCTTTCTTAAGTGTTCTGAATCTTTCTTAGAACAATGTGTAAGGAGGGAAGATATCCAGAAGTATTTTAATGTTGTCCACCTCCGTCCCCGTTTTTGTCACCCTCCTTGTGTTGAAGCTAAACCTGTGATATAGAAGCCTCTTTTTATCTGATCAATAAGGGGAAGAGGCGTAACTTATACAGTCAGGTCCAGAAATATTGTGACATCGACACAGTTCTAACATCTTTGGCTCTATACACCACCACAATGGATTTGGAAT